AATGTATTACATGTATTATGCATCTATGCATCCATCCATCCATGCATGCATGCATACATACATGCATTCATACACACATACATACATACATACATACACATACATACATACATGCATACATACATACATACATACATACATGCATGCATACATACATACATACACGCACTCAGTCACGTGTTGACAGAAACCACCATACATACATACATACACAACATACCAAGCATCTTCTCAATGATCCCCACAGATCACTACTAATTGGTAGTAATAATGTTTTATTATCCCCCAAGTGTTGACACACAGCTATATAACAACCCCCTCCTCCACTCAACAAGACTTACACGTATTGACCCAACGGTTCGCCGCCTTACAGACCCACCTTTAGTGTCGAGACGATTATTACAATGTCGTAAACAGGTATACTCTATATGAACGGGAGACTTGGCAAATAAGCCATTATATAACGTTGCTGGCTCGTTGCCAACGGCCTTACATTTCTATATCACCACGCCATTACCCGTTGGCTGCGGTATGGTCTTCATTGCCCAAACAACCGATGCGTTTGTGGCCATTTGCGATTTATTGCAAGACAGGCGATGACAGGTGCTCTGTAATTTGGTGTTACGGGTACTGTATAATTGGATATTTCCATGTGGATAATTTGCGATGCCGTGTTGTTGGGGCCGACGACAAACACCTGAAATGGCTGAAGGGATAGTGTTCCGAAAAAGGTGAGAAAATATGTCAAATAGAAATGATCGGGACAGCATTTCCCAATTGTGAACGACTTTTATAACACATTGAATTAAAAGACACTTTGGACAGTTAGATTCTACTGTATGTTACGTTAGAGGAAGTCTTATTTTAAAGATGGACTCCAGTTAGCTTGAAATGCATAGAAGGGCACAGAACAATACCTGTGTAGATACCGTATGAGATACACGACGTTGTTGACATTATAGCGACTTAGACAGGTGACTTCAAGCTGTGACTCACGCAGGTTGACGGGGGCGAAGGGGATCCAGAGGGGTGTGTGTGTGCATGTGTGCTTGTGTGTGTGTTAATTGTATATTATATAAATATTACCTTCATCCGATTAGGGGGGCGGGGTGGCGATGGGGTAGCCTAGTGGTTAAAGCGTTCGCTCGTCACGCCGAAGACATGGGTTCGATTTCCTACGTGGGTACAATGTGTGAAGCCCATTTCTGGTGTCCCCCGCCGTGATGTTGCTGGAATGTTGCTTGTTGTTGCACTGGCGGTAGTGGGTGAGTGAGTAGGGTTGACATCACCTCAAAATTCGCCACAGACACGATTTATGGGGTTGATACATTGTACCCATGCCTGGAATCGTACCCGAGCCTTCGGGGGAGACAGCAAATGCACAAGTCCTACCCCTCCTCCACATGAACAACCACCACCGTCCCAGTAGTAGTAGTAGTAGTAGTAGTAGTAGTAGTAGTAGTAGTAGTAGTAGTAGTAGTAGTAGTAGTAGTAGTAGTAGTAGTAGTAGTAGTAGTAGTAGTAGTTGTAGCAGTAGTAGTTGTTGGTTCTTTGGTTGGTATGTTTGTTGTTCGTCTGTAACTATTCGAGTCTGGACCGGACAATCCGGTGATCAACGGCATGAGCATCCATCCACGCAATTGTGATACGATATGTATCGACGACCAAGTCAACGAGCCTGACCAAGCAATCCCGTTAATCGCCACCTACGACTTGCATGAGTTGCCGAATGCCAATTCTAACCCGGATATTCACCCCACCGCCCCAGTAGTAGTAGTAGTAGTAGTAGTAGTAGGGGGCGAGCCGGCTAAGGCGCCAGGCTAGTGATCCAGCGAGGTTGAGGTGTCGGGATCGAGCCCACCTGTGACCGGGTCTAAAAACCTTGGAGTCAACATTGTGTGCAGACTTTGTCAGTGTTGTCACAACCCCTAGTGTACAGTACACAACCCTGTGCACTTAAAAGAACCCACGAATCCGTTGGTATATGACCAGATGGTGGCTACATGAATACGTGCAAACACCTAGTTGTGGGTACAGCAACGTGCAGTAAACTTGGACAAAGTACTGTGACTATGTGTCCCAGTCCACCCAGCTGTGAATGGGTACCTCGTTAGGATGAGAAAGCCACAATAACCCGGTGCGCCTTGTGGCTGCAAGAGTTGTATACTCCCCAGGGAGTTGAGATTGATAATATGATGTGCCGTTGAGATTGACATCCAGTGATCGAGGGGAAAAAAGATCAGCGCCTTGAGCAAGCACTAGTTTCCTGGATATGTGCGCTATATAAGTATCCTATAATAATAATAATAATAATAATAATAGTAGTAGTAGTAGTGATAGTAGTAGTAGTAGTAGTAGTAGTAGTAGTAGTAGTAGTGGTAGTAGTGGTGGTGGTTGTGGTTGTGGTGGCTGAAGTTGTAGAGGTAGGAGCCGCTGTAGATATAATAGTAATTGCAGTAGTAGTTGTAGAACAACTCTCATGACATGGCAAAGGAGATAGCATCGCTGTCGGTGTAGTTATATGAAACAGGATCGAAAAGAAAACTGATATGCTGCAGTAGTTGGACACTGTATACTATTATAACTGTAATGCCAGCAGCAGTAGGTGTAATACGGCTGCCGTAACGTTGGTTCCAGTAATAGCTTGTAGTCATGTTGTAATTACAGCACCGTTGGCGTTGTCGTGACTAAAGTCGTTGTCAAGGAATAGAGTGATAACAGAAAAGACAGTGTGAAAAGCAGTTCCATAATTAAAAGCCCGGTGACGTACGTTCCCATTTGTTTTGATGTTTGTAAATTGTATCTCCTTTCTATTACGATAAATATATATCTTTATGTTATGAATCCGTACAATTATAAATATCTCTTGGTTGATTGGTTGGTTGGTTGGTTGTTTTACGCCACACTCAGCAATATTCCAGCTATTTGGCGGCGGTCTGTAAATAGTCGAGTCTGGGCCAGGCAATCCAGTGATCAACAGCATGAGCACCAATCTACGCAATTACGATACCATGACATGTGTCAACCATGTCAGCGAGCCTGACCACCCGATCCCGTTAGTCGCCTCTTACGACAAGGACCCGGATCTTCACGGGTCGATAAAATATCTATTTGTTAGATCTTCAAACTTCTACCATAAATCATTTCTGGTGTCCCCGCCGTGATATTGCTGGAATATTGCTAAAAGCGGCGTAAAACTAAACTCACTCACTCTACCATAAATATCGGTATGTTATATCTTCATACCGTTACAATTAATATCACGGTGTTATATCTTCATACCGTTACAATGAATATCACGGTGTTATATCTTCACATGATTATGATAAATATCTGTGTGTAATACCTCTGTATCATTAAAATGGTATCAGTATGTTATACATCCATATGATTATGATAAATATCAACATGGTATAGCTCCATATACCATGATAAATATAAGTGTTATATCTTCATACTATTATGATCAAGGGGCGGTGGGGTAGCCTTGTGGTTAAAGCGTTCGCTCGTCACGCCGAAGACCCGGGTTCGATTCCCCACATGGGTACATGCAATGTGTGAAGCCCATTTCTGGTGTCCCCCGCCGTGATATAGCTGGAATATTGTTAAAAGCGGCGTAAAATTGAACTCACTCACTGTTATGATCAATATCACGTGTAATGCATCTATATCATTAGTCATGGCTATGTGTTATATATCCATAGCTCCATTAAGTTGCGAGTGTGTTTGTGTGTGTTGGGGAAGGGGGAGATGGAGTTAACGTAGACAGTGTTGTTACTGTATGGGCGTAGCCAGCACCATGTAAACACGTGGAACAGATGGAAGCAAGACTGTTAGAAACCGGCCGTCTCCGGAATCCTAGCTGGAGAAAAGGGCGTGTCTACCCGACTGACACGTTCGGGGGCAATGACGCCAGCCAAGCTGATTCATTTTTGTGTTAGTAGGAGTAGTAGTAGTAGTAGTAGTAGTAGTAGTAGTAGTAGTAGTAGTAGTAGCAGCAGCAGCAGTAGTAGTTGAGGCAGTAGTAGTAGTGGTAGCAGCAGCAGTAGTAGTAGCAGCAGCAGTAGCAGCAGCAGTAGTAGCAGCAGCAGTAGTAGTAGCAGCAGCAGCAGTAGTAGTAGCAGCAGCAGCAGCAGTAGTAGTAGTAGCAGCAGCAGGAGTAGTTGTAACAGCAGCTGTAGTTATAGTAGCAGCAGTAGTAGTAGCAGCAGTAGTAGCAGTAGTAGCAGCAGTAGTAGTAGTAGCAGCAGCAGCAGTTGTAACCGCAGCTGTAGCTATAGTAGCAGCAGTAGTAGAAGTAGTAGCAGCAGCAGTAGTAGTAGCAGCAGTAGTAGTAGCAGTAGCAGCAGTAGTAGTTGCAGCAGTAATAGTAGTAGCAGCAGTAGTAGTAACAGCAGCAGCTGTGGTTACAGCGGAAGCAGGAGCGGTGATGGTCGTGGTGGGCTCGTGGTTGTCGTTAAATAGTTGTCAGTAATAAGGAAGAGATGAGTCTTGAGGTCAGATTTAGTGGTAGGTTAATTAGGCCAGTTTAGCAGTCGGTTTTAGGAGCAGTGCCAGCAGTAGTAATAGTAGCTGTGGTAATTATACCGGAAGCCCCATCAGTCTCTTGGCTGGTGTGTTGCTAGAGGCGGCGTAAAACTGTACTCACTCACCACTTACTGCACCAGAAGCACGTCAGAACAACCACAATTCAAAAGGGTCATGGGGTAAAGGTCAAAACAGCCACAATAAAAAACCGTTATATTAAGTAGCCTAACCCCAACATAGATTATTCTAAAATCCTCAAATACACTCTTATACATCAATAGATTATTCTAAAATCCCCCCAAAATACACATACATATCAAATGTAGGTCATACACCTTTAAAGCAGCGCCGACGGTTGATGTGTCCGCGAGATGAGATTCTGTTGATTCCATACAAATGAGTGAGGCATAGATACTGCATGCGCTAGGGGTCGGGTTTCGCGAGGCTCTCCCCACGCGCACTGAGAACTTCCCAGCCCGTATGCTACAGGCGACACATAAAGCCCTCTTTCACTCCGATACACCACTGTGGGCGCACGGCAACGCCGAGGGAAAAGGGAAGTATTTTGGAGGTTTTCAGCCGACTATGTTCACATTTTAAAAAACTTCACAACACAAATAGGCCTCCAAATGCAAAATAGGCCGGCCTACTCAAACATTGAGGAAAGGTCGGAGTTTCTCCCACATTGTATCCGACAGTGATGAATTCGACAACATGTACGGGGACTACAGCGTGACGGGGCGGTCGGATATGCATTTCGATATGTAGGTATTTTGTAACTTATATATAAGTATTCTTACCATGTAGACATGGCAGGTTCATGTAAAGATTTTCCTGTATCCGGTCTGTTCACGTTCGGGTACATATACGCCATATATCAGAGCAGGAAGCGATATGTTTCCCAAGCCGTAATTTAACCTAGGAATATTCTAAGCGTATCACGTTACCCTCTCCTACAGATATTGGTGCTTGTGAAGGAATGTCTCAATAACTGAATCTAATATGATAGATGTATATGGGGTATGTGAGGATTTTAAGTGAATTAAACGTGTCAGTCTGATGTAGGTTACCCCTCCTTTGTTTATTTAGCCACAGTAAGAAAAATGTCTGTAAAGGCAATGGTTGTTATTTTACGAAACATATATTGAATTAATGCACAACTTTTCAACGATGTGAGTGTATCAGCTTTTAATTTCTACCCAAATAAACCTTTTACAATTATATGTAGGCCATATGAACAGAATGTAATGTTCATTTCAATAATATATTCTGAATATTCATTTCAATAATATATCCTGAATATTCATTCTGTTATGTATACACTGTGTATACAGTTTAAGTTAGCACACCCTGCATGTGTAGATATACTGTGACATTTCGCATGTACATTATAACAGCGCCTCACAAATTTAGCCAATACTTAATGTTTACAAATACACTCATTCAACACAATGACATCGTGCGCTATTCAACACACACCCAGAATACAGTACGATACAGTCACGGTTGTATAGTCGAGGAAAAGGGGGGACGGCGCGAGCATATACAATAGTTAAATTGATAGGATTTTGACTCACGCAGTCGACGACGCCTAAAGTCAAATGCCACGCAAATTGGTTACCTGTTACACAGCTCATGTGCCCGGTCCCCAGTTGACCTCTTCAAGTTTTTCTAGTTGCCTGGGTCAATATACGGGCGTTGAACTGAATTGTGTTCAAATCAAATAGAAAGCTGATATCGTGGATGCATGTAACTCACCAAACACATGTTTTGAAACTGGTAATTCTTTTGTAACACGATAACTACGACTTTATTCAAAAATAATTTCAGAATATATATTTCATTCTTAAATGTCAATAGTGCAAGGGGTCAGATTTTGTATTTTATGATTTTGATGAGTTTGTTCATTGTTTGGGTTTGTTAAAATATATTTTACAGCTATATGAGACTGAGAATAGCCTCTGAATTGAGAATATTTGACAGAACAGTTGAAAATGTATCTTAATAAAATACCAAAATAATAAAAGGAGCCCGAGGTTCTCTTCTTTCCAGGGCAGTAATCTAGACTTGCCACCTATGATATAGGCATGCATGGGCTGTATTTTGGTTAAATTTGTATTAGGTTCCGAATGACTGCATGGCTACAGCTATGTGTACAATTTGATTTGAATAGGCCATATAATATTAGGGTAATAATTTTTATCCCTGTGGTAATATTTGGAAATTAAATGATCGTGTGAAATGATATATGTGTAATTTGCTAGTCTGTCATACAGACCCTGAAGCAAATACATGCAAGAAAGCCCGAGCAAGTCAAAGTGTATGAAGAAAGTCTCAGATTTCTTTTCATTCAAATTTTACTGTGAAGAAAGTCTCTGTCCTTTTCATTATATTTTTGTTTTCTTAATGTTTGCATACTTTTACTGTGTGTGTGTGTGTGTGTCAGAGAGATAGAGTTGAGAGAGAGAGAGTTGTGAGTGAGAGAGAGAGTTTGAGAGAGAGAGAGAGAGAGAGAGAGAGAGAGAGAGAGAGAGAGAGAGAGTCATCAACCCGAAATAATAACTTATTTACAAAAACACGAAACTGTCAATTTTGCAGGAACATACCACATCCACAACCCCAATAAATGCACAAATCGTAGTTGTTTTAAAAATGTAAGAAATATTTTTTTCTTATTTATATAAGCAGCGTTCTGGGCGTTTCGTCTTTTGTACCCTTGTTCAATTCCCAGCATTCTGACTTGTTGATCAAAATCATCCCTGTGTCAGCGTGACATATCTTCTCACAATGTGTGTCTCAATAACTGCGTATGAAATTTGTCAGTCGGGACATCAAGGAAACCATATCCTGAAGAATGCAAGCGTCATTAACCAGTGATGATTACTCGGAATGCTAATTATGTCCGGTACATTTCACGATATTTGTCACACAGAAAACCTTTAATGTTTGACAGCATTCATTAGGAATAGAAGCGAACCCTACAGTTTTGTTAAAAATACGTTTATTTTTCAATCTTCTAATCTTCAATGTACTTTTGTGAGAAGGTTTCTATTCTCTTATTTTTGTTTCGAAACTTTGGCAAAGGTGTGACGCTCCACAGGAGTTACCTCCCTTGTGTTATTGCGAACAAAATCTCGCGAGATGTTACGATGACTCACGAATCCTTTCTCCTCTTCCGCCCTGAGACATCGTCAAAATATTAGCGTGAAATGTCGAGAGAACATTGGATTTACTTTCTACCAGGATAATAATCATGTGGATTTATTCATCTACCTCCTAGGGACATCGAGGTATCGTCAGAAAAACAAATCCCCATGCACAAGATGGGGAATTCTTCATCCAACAGCCACGACCATCGAGGGCTGGAACAGCGAAAGACGTCCATGCCGATTCGTCTGCCCATGCCGGACTCTCACGAGTTGGAAAGACGGTTTACAAAGGTTTTGGTAAGTTAAACATAGCAACTGCCAAATTCTCCTTGTCTTTGTTTGCGCCGCAATCTCCAGATGATCGTTGCGGCTTTGATCTCAACGAGGTGACCTCATATTTGGGTCATGAAACTGCCAAGCCCAGCAATGTTTCTTGCTGTTGAAAGCAAAACACTCCCCATCTGCTACCGCTACTGCATATTTCATAAGACAGATCATGATAATGTACTCAAACACCTTATTAAGATGCTTTTATGGGGTAAAATACGATAGGCAGGATGGCAGACGTAAGGTATTCGGTCGGAAAGTACAATGGGGGTGATAAAGAGTTAAAAGACCCAACCCCTTGTGTGAGAATCCACCTGACATTCCTCTATAGCTTGTTTTTATGCATGTGCGGATTGATTCTTTTGTTTACAAGTGATATTTCCCCATCTCATGCCTCTGTCAGGTCTGCTGTCACCAATAACTTGCCATGAGTTACACATTCAGAAGAACATGAAGTGTGCCTACTTAATCAGAATGTTAAATACAAACTGATTGGCTAAGTGCTTCTGGGGTTGCCTTGGATGCACTTGTGACAGATGGGGAGCACAGCAGAAACTAGACACCTTACCCACAGCCATTCATATAGACGCTATAGTCTGTAACTAATTATGATTATTATCTCATGCAAAGCTATATTGAATAACGTCTTTGTTCATGTTGTGTGGAAGCATTTCTGAATCACTTGAACAGGGACATTTTAGACATGTGTTGAAAATTTCCTCTCCGTTTAATGACCTGTGAATGTGAAACTCCAAACAGGAAATGTTTTAGCTGGCTAACTTCTATTTTTGGACCTTGTTAGTGAAAATTGCCAATTTATTTGAGAAGTTGGTTTCCCTGACAGTATTTACATTTGACTGAAGTGCCAAGTCCTTGCAGAAAGTGATGTTAATGTATTAAGATTTGCAGATTTTATTCTTTGGGGTATATTCGACAAATTAATTATGGTAAAGGCCATCAAACACTTCTGTCAAATTTATAGAATTTTCCATTACATGCATATTTTATTATTTACATGTTTAATGAATTGAAATGCACTTAGTGAATAGTAATCAGAGTTAACATTGACCTGTTTAAGAGCTGTTAGCTGTTATAACTGGAACTCAGGTTGGGAAAGTTAGAAATTATTGATTCTAGGAAATACACAAAATGTGACATGTTCGAAGGATGTTAGAGGATTCATTCAGTAGTCTGGTGTATTAGAAATTTAGATTGTTCACCTTCAAGTCTTGTTGATATTCATGGCCATGGTTTTCAGAAAAACTTCATGGATATTTCTCTATTCGAGTGATTAAAGTACAGCAGAACCATTGTCCCCTTTCCTGGCAACACAGTCATTTGTAATATCCTTTATCTCATATTTTGTCAGTTGTCCAGATCAAACGGACACTGGACATAGTGACCCCTTTAAACAAATTTCTGCTCATGCTGTTGTCAGGATGAGATAGGATTTTATATCTAAAGCGTAGCAGCTGGAATATTATGATTGCATGTTTCTTATTAAAGAACACCAATGTTCTTTTTCTCAATGTCTTTGTGTTTGTTCTGGAGTCAAAACATTTGTGACTCATGTTGTTTTCCTGTAGTAATTCAGTAAGATCGAAAGCACATGAACATGGGTTTAAGTAGAATAAGTGAGTGAGTGAATATTTAACGTCACATCAGCACAATTGAAACTGAATAAATTACGCCCATAAAAACCCTTTGTCCCAGTACCGTAAAATGTTTTACTTATGATTAGCATGTTATCATAGAAAAGGTTATTGCATTTATTTTCGAGACATTGCACATATGTTTGTAGGTACTTGTTCCAGCTTGGAAGATGAATATTAATAACCTAATTATGCATATCATTCTGATTTCTAAACCCTTGTTTTATTCCCTTCTTGACAAACACTGTCCACAAACACTGTCGCTGGAGCAGTCTCTATGTACATCAAACATTTGTCAAAAGTCTTAATCACTACTGTCATGACCGGAAAGTGCTTGTTTGTATCTTTTCACAGGGTCTGTACCATTTAGTAAGTGTATTCTGTATATGACAACTATTGAATGAGTGAGTTTAGTTTTACGCCCACTCAGCAATATTCCAGATATATGGCGGTAGTAAGTATTTGAGTCTGGACCAGACAATCCAGTGATCAACAGCATGAGTATCAATCTACGCAATTTTGATACAATACCATGCCTCAACCAAGTCAGCGAGTCTGACCACCCGATCCCGTTACAAGTTGCCTCTTACGACAAGCATGGGTTACTGAAGATCAGTTCTAACCCGGATCTTCACGGGTTATGATACTATAGTTGTCATTGGGCTGATTGGTTGTCATCTAAAATATCCTTTTCTCCAAAATTTTAATCATAACATAAGTATGGCCAGTCAATATGATCAATAACTGATAAAAACATTTGCAACATTCTGTTGAAGTCGATGACTTTTACCTCTAGCCCAAAGCCTGAGATAAATTCTGTCCGGCCTAAAAGTAAAGCTTGTACTGTTCTGAAAGTAACATCAAGATCTGCAGAAAATAATGCTTTTTGCAAAGTTCATGTCTGTAGACTCAAATGTTTTTGCAAAGATGGTGTTGGGTTTGAATTCATGATACACCAACTATGTACCTTGTCTTTCGTGACATTGTAATTCATGTGAAGCAGGGCGGTGGGGTAGCCTAGTGGTTAAAGCGTTGGCTCGTCACGCCGAAGACCTGGGTTCAAATCACCACATGGGCACATTGTGTGAAGCCCATTTCTGGTGTCCCCCGCCGTGATATTGCTGGAATATTGTTAAAAACGGCGTAAAAACCATACTCACTCACTCACTCATGTGAAGTATCTAGAGAAATGATCATCTCATCTTTCACAAAAATCCCCAGTATATTATATTGCTAGCCCAAAAGAGTCTGACCTAGGATTGGTCCAGCTACAGTTACTGTGATGAGGGAAGAGAAACTGGGCTAACTAGGTGTCACACATTCATATCAGTGTCTCCACATAAACATCAGGATGTGTTGACATGGAACAGTGTCAACCACAGGTTTAGGCTACCAGTAGTCACATGGCAGTCAGGTCAGAGTTTCTGACCTGACTGACCCATTGAAAATGCACAGGACCCATGGAAAAACTTAAACACACATTTCAGATTTAATATTTCTTATAATTGACATTGAAATTATTAACAAACATAAGATTTATAAACAGCAAACAAGTGTCACATGTCACATAAAACAACTTCAGTCAAAGTCATTGTGAAATATACAGTCAGACACTGGGACCGGCGGGTTGTAGACTTCTGTCTGACCGTTGGCAAATCTGCCGGATTTGTCACAGGGTCAGATGCTATTTGTGAACACTGCCAAGCCCATTTCTGGTGTCCCCTGCCATGGTATTGCTGGAATATAGTAAAAAAACATACTCACTCACTCTAATGAGGGCTGATTATTATGCCAGAACTTGGCTTTGTTATATTTTTTTTAATTTGAAGGAAAACTAAGTTCTATGGATAGTCAACTTTTCGTTATTGCAATGAGTGCGATGTTTCGGTGTAGGTACTAACACTGTTATCAAGCAAGTGCTCATTCTGTTGATCACTGGATTGTCTGCTCCATTCACTTGCTTGATAATGGTGTAAGTACCTACACCGAAACATCGCACTCATTGCAATAAAGAAGTTAACTATCCATAGAACTTAGTTTTCCTTCATCTTCACAACTTCTAAAATGCCTCTCAAAGAATTTTAAGATTTGTCTGACTCCCCAATGTTTTAGCCTGGGACCTTGGCGGATAAAGACTGAGTTCACATGACCTCCAAATATACGACCCAGGTATATGCCAGGTTAGAATTGGTCTGGGTTAGAACTGGTCTTCAGCAACCCATCCTTCTTGTAAGAAGTGACTAACAGGTTGAGGTGGTCAGGGTTGTACACACGTCATCTTATCCCAACTGTATAGATCGATGCTCATTCAGTGGATCACTGGATTGTCTGCTCCAGACTCGATTATTTACAGACTGCGCCAGATAGCTTGAATATTGCAGAGTGTGGCATTAAACAACAAACAAACATGTTTGACATTATCGATTACACAATTTTCATATCGATAATCATTATTGATGATTCCCATTGACAATAATTCTGATTGTTGATCTTTTTAGCCAGCTCTAGGGACAACCAAGTCGATTGGGTGGTCAGGCTTGGTGAATTGGTTAATGGCTTGTGGTCATCTCCCTGACGGAGGAAGATCATATATACCAGATTGCTTGGTCTTGGGTCGATTGTTTACATTCTGCTGTCATATGGCTGAAAAATTGCTGAGTTTGCCGTTTAACAACAAACAAACAAGCTATTTCATGTATGCTTTCAAGCCTACTTACTTGTACATTAGAAAGCGATAGTACCACCTAATGAGATGTCTGTGTTTGTTTTGGCAGGCTGCTAATGTACAGGTGTACATACCAACTTCATCTTCAGATAGGTCCGGCAGGGGAACAATGCATAGATTAGAGGGACACTTTGAACATCCATGCGAGTCTGGTTAACATGAGGGAAAGCATGCTTCCTTGGACAAACAGAAACACAGGATCATTACCTTACGAATAGCCGGAGTATTGGTGGGATCTATATCTATCTGACATGACAGCCTCAAAGGGGTCCGAAAATACCTACACGCCAGCAGATTATGTCAGTCATTTAGTTCCAGTAGAATAAGATGGGTAACAGTAACAGGCAGTTTACATGATCGATCTGGCCAGAATTTAATTTGTATACATCTGAATTTGTTTGGACAGATGGCAGACGTCTGTAAACAGCTTGACTTTATGAATATTAGCTGGCAGCTTACCTGTAGTATGAGGCCGACTCCATTGTTCTCGGATTCTTCAGGAAAATATATTTTTTCTATTGTTCACTTTCTTATCAAATATAGAGGTCCAGTCAGGTGAACTTTCTAGTAAGCTAATATAAGGATTGAGACCT